GCTTTTATAATTATAATAACTTTCAAACTATTACAGTTATGATAAATATGCTTCAAGTCTTTTTTGTTCATTATGAATTTATTAACGATTTAAGCCTTTTACTAAAGTTGTAGTCCTATTATTTATTTAATTATTCATCGTTATTTATTAAAAAAAGAAAAATTTTAAGTTTTCAGGGAATTTACTAATACTACTACTACTAATGTAGAATACTACTTATGTAGCATGAGAGTTTGCTGGCAAAACTTCGATGCTATGGCTTGTCAGATCATTTTTGTGTATGGCTTTCCAGCTTCCTGAAAGAACGTTTCCTACAAGTGGCCTTCGATGGATATCTCTCGAATACTTTCACCATCAACGCTGGTGTTCCCCAGTGATCCATATTGTCTCCAACCCTCTTTTTATTGTATATCAACGAATTATTGAAAAACAACAAGAATCTAATATAGAGTGTGTCAATTTTTAAACTAACAATGGGCTATATCTCACGAACGAAAGCTGATATCGAAAAATGCTTGAAACCGTTTCTAGGATAGTAAGGGGGAACTAAAGTGACATGAACCCACCAAAAGTCAAAAAGTTTGAATTGCAAACCCCTACTTGTACATCATTGAAAAGACTATAAAAATGCTATCCAATGGTATATATAATTGTACAGGGTGAAGCAATAATTGTGAAACTTTGGCTTAAATGGAATATTTAATGAGGTTTTTGTTGAACTACAAATTTATTAAAAATGTCAATTAAGTAAATGTTCAAAGTGGGTTCCGTTGTTTTGTAAACAATAATACAGCCTATTATCAAAGTCTGCACGAACTTTAATATCAGCCGACTTACTATGACTTTTTTATTTGTAATGCTACAAAACTCGAAACTTTTTTTGTTAAATAAAAACTTAATTTGCCGTTTTTGCAAAACAAGTTGGAAATATTTGTTTTTGGGGTTCTATCAGAGTCAATAATTTTTGGTTTGTTTGAGACTTTAAAATGTCATTAGTTTTCATCATTTGTACGATCTGAGCGCGTGGAGATAATTTTCATATTTGCCTCCCAGAGGCAGTGTTATTTAAAAACAGCTCAAATATTTTATGCACAATTAAAAATATTTCATGAAAGGCATCCGGACAAAAATTTAAGTCACGTGTACGTCCGCGATTTAGTTGAAAAGTTTAGAGAAACGGTATCAGTGCAAAATAAAAAAGGAAAGCCCCAAGATTACTGAATGAAGCAACCCAAATTGAGGTCCTTGGAAATTTTGCAATGGAGCCTACTGCATCAACACGTCAAGTATCTGCAGTGTGAGGACTTTTACATGAGTCGGTTAGAAATGTGTTGAAATTACATAAGTTTCACCCGTACAAAACACAAATTCTTCAAGAACTAGGCGATGATGATCCAGACCGACGAATTGAGTTTTGTGAACTCATGACTGAAAGAATTCGCGTTGAACCGAAAATGTTATACTTGTTTCGTCATTCCATTTGGATTCCAGGACATCGGCTGCGAAGCACATCTTCACCGGCAACAGGAGGTTGCATATCTTACTGAGGAGCTAGACATGATTTCGAATTGGAGTGAAAGTAACCAGGTTCCATTCAATGTCACAAAAACCCAGGTATCGGTTTTCTACATAAAGATAAATGCTTTCTGAAATGAAAATACAAATTGTTTCCATCTAGGATTTGAGTCATTTAATCTCTATATTATTATTCAGGGGCTCAGCCAACTTTCATTTGTATTGAAGTAAATAGTACATATACAATCAAAAAAAATTCCCATAAAATTTGTTCATGATAAAAATACAAAATTTATTTCATTAAAGTTGTGATTAATTGAAGACACCAAAAAAATGGACTGTCAAACACCTCATATTTCGTACCTATATAGGAACCTTATCAGTGTAACATTAATATAAGTTCATTTTGCTCCTTTGAACGGGAATGCATTGGATTTCATTTCAGCAAAACATTCTCAAAAAAGTTGTTACTTGAAGAAATTATTGAATCCTGTGATTAATTAAAGACACTAAAAAAATGGACTGTCTAACACCTCATATTTCGTACCTATATAGGAACCTTATCAGTGTAACATTAATATAAGTTCATTTTGCTCCTTTAAACGGGAATGCATTAGATTTCATTTCAGCAAAACATTCTCAAAAAAGTTGTTACTTGAAGAAATTATTGAATCCTTTGAGTGAATTAATATTCAAGCGGCAATTACTACCTACATCAGGACACAACAAAAAGAAAAAAAATATATATAAAGTATTTCAAACGCGCTTATATAATATCCGATATCTCTTTATGCAATATTGTTGACCTATCTCGAAATAAATTTCGATACATAAACCACGGCTCGATAACCGAAACGAATGTTTCTGAAGTTGCAAAAAATAAAAGAAAATTGAACTGTAAACGTTTTTATCGAACGAGGCTGTATACACTGCATATTGATGAAAGACAGCCCGCCAGCATTTAATTTTTACCTCCCTCAATAACTTAAATTTGTTATTTCAAAAGAAGTTAAAACGACTATTGTGAAGATGTCTTTCAATATTCAATCAACTGATCAATTTTTGCAACCATTTTAATCTCAGTCGTTTTTGACTTCAAATCCTTCCCGGCAATGATTTCAGGTTCTACAATTACCAGTAACTACGGCCATAGCCAAATTCATCCGATTAGCAGTTACATTACGATTTGATTTTCAACAAAAAACGATAAGCAGGCAAAGCTCACTTAACAGATTAGTAGTACTACAAGGGTGGTTCCAGGAGTACCCAGCCTGATCTAGAGATGGCGGTAGTTGTTTGAAAAAATATCACTGTACTAGAAAGCACATATCTATTAAGTATGTTTCAAGCTTGAAGACGCTGCGTTGTTTAGTATTTGTTTGGCAGCCATCAATAGCGAACGTTTTCGGTGAATTTGTGAAAATGAAGAAAATTGGCCATCGTTATGCGGTACAATACTGAAATTCGAAAGGCCTTAGCCCAACCAATTTAAAAGCTGAACTGGATTCTACTCCTTTTCTTTCGTTTACATCAGGAAAATATTGAGTAGCAGAGTTTAAACGACGCTGTACGAGCTGCCAAGGCGACGTAATCCATCTTGAGTTCCTACAGGTTGAAGCCTGGCTCCCTTCCCCTTTCAACTGGTGTTCGAGCCAAGGCGAGCATCGCAGTGATCGACCAAATGAGGTGACAACTCCAGAAAACACTTAAGAAAAGCCAAAAAGCGCAACTTTCGCTTCGGCACAGCTCCCTGAGCGCGTAAATGATTTTCCAGCAGTGTTTGTGCAATATCATCAACAAGAGAGAACCCTAATCTGGTTCAGGAGTACGGTTTTATTACAACTGAGATGATTTGAAGGTGACAACCTGCAACCTGAGCTCACTCAGAATTACTGACAGACACTTCGAGATACCGTAAAAACCCGTATCACGGTATTGCGCGGTTCTGTCGTGATGGAGTTTCTTCCTTTAGCTACTCGTGGGACTGTTTATGGGCTATGAAGTGATCCGTGCCTGAGTATACAGAGGATATGAACGTCGACTAAACGAATCATGAGTTTCTAAGTTCTCCAATTTTTGATCCTGTTAATAAACCTACAAGGCTAGATGGTGTAGCCAGGAAGTGACTTATCGCCATTTCAAGGCAAGATATCCTATGAATCTATTCTGCACCAAAGTCTTGAGTAGCATCAGCAGAATCTGCATTAGGAAAGAAAACAAACGTTTTCTGAGCAAGTCTTCAAATGTTTACGTTCAAACGATGGCTCACCAAAACAAGTTAAAAAGCCGTGCCTGACTGAATCTAATCTATCATCCCTCTGGAATCTCATAGTATACCATTATGGCTAGAGACTATTACAGACGATACTTCACAGGAACAATTCTATTGGTGCAAATTTCGGCCTGGATGACTACAGGTTGCCAGAGACGATTCGGAGAGCATCTTCTATCTACTGGGTGCAAATAGTACCGTCATCCATTGGAGTGCGACTCTTCGAAATGTGTCACGAGAGACCTGCTTCACAAGACATACATTTGTGTTCTACCGGATGAGGGAAGTCGCAGACCGCTGATCAGGTCATCACTAGACTGAATAATCACCCTCCTGTGCCCTGTAGCGCAAGATAGGGATTTTGGAAATTCATTTTGCAACCATTAGATTTAATGAAGAGAAAACACTGAATACAATTTTGAAACATTACCTTGTTCTCTCCACAGTTGATCCTTCTTTATCTCTTCTTCTTCAGCCTCTTTCGCCGCCTCTTGTTGCTTTTTCTGAATCTTCTGGAAAATCTCACAAGTTTTATCACTCAAAAACTTCTTTTCCCAAAGCGCCACTCTTTGAGCCACTTTTTGAGTGTTCGTGACTTCTTCTGGGATATTCGCAGCATCATTAAAACTGAATTTATTATTATTCTTTGCGGGGTAGTAGTTCAAACTATAGTTATTCAAGTTCCTAGGTTTCGAGTGTATCTTCGCTTGAATCTCTTCCACAGAGCAATAAATATCCATATCGGTTTCTATTTCGTACTTCTGGGGTGGAAATTCAATTTTCGGTGAAAAATCTACGTAGTCTGATATGAGCTGCGCTTTCATTTCCTTCCTCATTTCCTCGCGGATTTTCTCAGTCTCTTTTTCAGCGAGTTGTCTCGCTTTTTCCGCAGCTTCCTCTCTGAGGATTTCCTCGATGCTTTTGTCGTCTTCGTGCTCCCCCATGACCCACACCCAAGGCTCCCCGTCTGAGCCCTTCATGAATTCCACGGACTTCTTGTTGCTATTTTTTGCGTTCGATTTTATGGTGTCGTCACAAAGTTTATCGTTCCATGCTTTCCAGCGCCTTACTTGCTCTTCCCTCATTTTGCAGAATAAAGTCTGTTTTTGATCCTCGTCCAGTTCGGCGAGGATTTCGGGGTCGACGTACATGTCCCGAAGGATTTGTTGCAACATTTTGTATCTGCAACAATAAAATTAAAATTAGATCATTGTTGAAAATCATCCCCTTAAAAAATTAATAATTTCTGATAATTGGAGTCCTTGGTGGAATGATGCCCTCTCTACTCCCGAATCTTAAAATCATACCGGCCTACCGCACTAAGGCAGAAATCTTAGATGCAGAAAGCTGTCATTCTTAGCTCACTGCGCTTGCTCAGGCCACATGATTATCGTACTCAATGATCACTCAACCCATGGTGTGGGGAGTGGTCGTTGGTTGATAATGCTGGCGCGTCCTCCCGAATGTATCGGGTTTTCGGGGATAGGGCCTTACCAGCGCATAATTCGGCAAATAATAATAATAATAATAAGAGGTAACAGCAATGAAGAACTCTCTCTGCGGCAAGTATTTTCCCGATAATATATATTTATCAAATATTTTTAATCAACTGATAAAGTTCCCCAATAAAACTATAAAATTTATTACATTCTTATTGAAAGAGAGTTTATTTGATACTGCCTCGCGATAAAATCATATTTGAATCGTTTAGATTCATGGCCACACCAGCATGAATGGTCATGAAGCTGTTAACTCCCTTGTAGGGTAGGACGTGGAAAACGGTTTCCCTGTTATTGGCACCGCTCAAATAAACTAATTGCTCCAAATACAAAGGGTTCTTTTCAGAGGTGTCAGTAGCTGTTTCACGATGCTTTCCATTTTTATTTCGCGAGCTTCTGTCTTAGAAAGAGGTCTGATAGCTTCCGCGTACAACGCACTTGAGAATGTTGAGGTTGAAGATTGAAATCCTCTTGTTTTTCTTGAAATATCACATTATACCGGCCCATCTCGTACAAAAACTTCAATTGCTACCAAAAATTTTATACCGAGCATATTCACATTTGATGTTACTTTCTCTATCGCACCCCCAGAGCAGATTTTGGTTCGGGAGCTACAAATTATTTGGGTTGAAAACGAGCAACAACTTTTGGAACAATGATTTTCAGGAAAAATGCAAAAACACCTCAACAATAGTATACAGGGGGACACATTTTGACATTTTCACATTTGATCTAACTTTCCCTATCGCACCCCCAGAATATGTCACCATTTTTTTAATGAATCATGTTCCATGATGAACATATTTCGACAAAGTAGAATACATTTTGGTCTGAAGCTCATAGTTTGGAAGCTGAAAATTATTTGAGTTGATTACAAGCCTCCCAGAATGAACTTCTGTACAATCTGTTACATAGGTTTCATAGGTTTTTTGTGAAGTATACTTCAAAAAAGTTTTATTTTGCGTAGTTAAGTTTGAATTCGATATTCTCTTCATTTTGTATTTGTGTCATTCAACAATAACGATTACCTACCAACGATTACCTACCAGGTGGAGTTACAATTGGTGTTTCTGTTTTTGTGAATTCTTGAGAAGCAATGGTTTATACGCTTCGAGAACGAGAAATAGTGCTAGAGCTGCTGCCCGTATGTTCAATGATAATCATCCAGGAATACGTTTCGGAATTATTGAACAAATTTATGGAAACTGGATCTGTTAACAATAAAAAGCATAACTGTTCAGGAGTTGTCAACGATCGAGCTATTCGTACTGCAGTTTTAGAGCATGTTGGACTAATGGAAAATTAGCAATCTCTTACTAAGTTATCTCGAAAATTAGGAATCAGTCGTACAAATGTTTACAGCATCCTTCATAAATACAAATTTCATCCATATAATATTAGACTATTTCATCAGTTCGGACTTCCATTGTCTAATATAATATATATTGATTTGAAATCCCTGAAAATCCCTGGTTGTAGCTTGTATGTTATTTCCTTGTAATTTCTGTTTTTTGTTTTAATAAAATTATTATTTTCGGTTAATCTTCTATTTTTTTCAGGGATTTCAAATCAATTCATATTATATTAGACAAAGGAAGTCCGAACTCATGAAATATACTACGAAACATTGTCAACCACCTTCAAACAAAGATTAGACTAGTTCATGAATTGAATAAAGATGATTTCGATGGACGTATCGAGTTTTGTGAAAGTCTCAGTGAACGGATCAACTTGCATCAGAATTTCTTGTGTAAAATTTGTTTTTCGAATGAATGTACGTTTAGTTTGAATGAAGAGGTGAATCGGCAAAATTGTCGATATTGGAGTGATACGAATCCTCATTTATACCGTCGAGTTCATACCCAACCACCTCAAAAACTGAATGTTATGACAGGAATTTTAGGTGACCACATCATAGGATTTTTTTTTATTGATGATAATTTGACTAGTGACAAATATTTGGATATGTTGGAGAATCGAATAATACCGTGCATAAATAGGGCAATTGAGGAGGATATAAATTTATTCGAAAACGAAATAGTTTTTCAGCATGATGGTGCGCCTCCTCATTATGTAGCTGCAGTGCGACAATTTTTGAATGATCATTTTCCTGGTCGCTGGATTGGCAGAAGAGGTCCTACAGAATGGCCACCAAGGTCTCCGCATATCACTACTGTAGATTTATTTCTATGGGGTCATTTGAAGTCTAAAGTGTATGAGATAGAATCAACAACATTAGAATATTTGAGAGAGAATATCATGAGGCATTGCAGAGAAATCACTCCCGAGATTCTCAACCATGTGAGGGCGGCAATGGAAGTTCGTTTGTACCATTGTATGGAAGTTGGTGAAAACGTTTCTGAACATTAANAATAAATAACTTTATTGCTTCTATATTTGTCTCTAGAACGAATATTTCAAAATGTGGCCTCCTGTATAGTTGTTGACCTGTTTTTTATTTTTCCTGCAAATCATTGTTTCAAAAGTTATTCAGGGTGGCTTGTTTTAAATGGAATGCACTGTATTGGTTCTTCTTTCAGTTGATATCACCTGATTCAACGTTTCATTTTCGTGTAGCTGCAATTATTTTTGAAGGTGTAGTAACCGTTGAAATAACTGTTTTATTAGCATTTCCAAGATTTATAATTTCACATTGTGATATAAACTTATGCAATGGGTACATTGTTCTTCAGAGGCAAAAAAGCTCGCTACGGGGAACAATGGTTAACAAATGGAACTTTTTAACTCCAACGGTAGCTCGATGCTAATTTGGAGTCAGGCAAAAAATAGGAAAATCATTTCAAGTAACAGAGAGCGATTTCATAATATAAATTGAATCTCACCGTGAAACCATGGCATAACATTATTCGAAGGGTCTAGTCCTGCAGACCTTTCTCTTTCTTTGTTTCTGTACCATTCTAGAACAGCCGTTCTTCCGGGAGGTACTCCAGAATTAACAGTGGTGTAGGAAGTGTCTAGTTGAAATTCTGAGTTGAGTTTGTGTTCCTGCCTGGCGCGTCTGGCTATTTCTCTTTTTTGCTGATCCGCTTGTTTCGCTTTTCGTTCTAAAAAACAAAAAAGTATTACTTTATATAAATATGGATACTTTTGACAAAATTGTAATTTGCTGCGAAATTAATGAGACAATCGAGAAACATTTTGTTTTTTTTATCTATAGAAAATGAATCCAAATCAAAAGGCAACAATTTCGTATCCTCGCATTTCGGAGCAGGGTCAGTGATTATTGACTTTATTGAAAAATATCCTTTTCGACTTTTCGACAAACAACGTCTAGTCAGGAGAATTTTTAAACAGCTCAATGCCAACAAGGCGTCCGGTCCTGATAGAGTGCCTGTCATCGTACTTAAAAAGTGCGCCAAGGAACTCGCACCAGTGTTTTGCTGACTTTTCAACCAGTCTCACAAGGAAGGGGTTTTTCCTTCTTGTTGGGAGATCATTTGCGTTCAGCCTATTCCCAAAGAGGGCAAAACAATTCTTCCAAATAACTATAGGCCAGTCGCTTTGCTATCAGGGATATAAAAATCATGGAGAAAGCAGTAAAGCACCATATCCTCAAATATTCGGAAGGCTTTAACATCTTGACCGATCATCAATATGGCTTTCGGAAACAAAAATCAACAGGCGACCTTCTATCGTATGTCACCTATATTTGGAATGACGAAATCGAGAAACATAGAGAGTCTAATGCCATTGACCGTATGTAGTCTGGTTCACATGTACTCGATTTAGCTCTTTTTGGTGACATTTTTCAGCTATGTCCAAAAATTACGACCAAGGTGTCATTCGATTCGTATTTTTGCCTAGAAAGTTTAAGGAAAGGTCCGAAAACGCGCTGATAAAAATTACAAAAGTTATAAACAATTAAGTNGCTCCAGTTAGGCACTGGTTGGATACTAATTATCCGAACAAATGGATTGGAAGGAGAGGTCCCATTTAGTGGCCACCGAGGTCACCAGACTTGGCGCCACCTGACTTTTTTCTGTGGGGTCACCTCAAATCAGTTGTTTATAAAACTCAATCTGAGTCACTTGGGGAATTGCGAGAAAGAATTACGCAAGCATGTTGCGCCATTACAAGAACAACATTTGCCAAAGTTCGAGCAGAATTTGAAAATAGGCTGTATTATTGTTTACAAAACAACGGAACCCACTTTGAACATTTACTCGATTGACATTTTTAATAAATTTGCAGTTCAATAAAAGCCTCATTAAATATTCCATTTAAGCCAAAGTTTCACAATTATTCCTTCACCCTGTATAATTATTATTGTTGAGGAACGAACAAGAATTTGATCTACATCACCATGTATTACGTTTTGTTTTATTGATAAAAAAAAAAGTTGTTGATAGAGTTGTCATTGTCAAGTTAGTTAAATTAATTCTTTTGAGATTTGTATATTTATTTTCATTAAAGTTGTTTACAGTTGAATAATCCTGTGTTCAAGCTAAAACTCAACAAACAATTATTTATATCACTGGATAGCATTTTTTATAGTCTTTTCAATGATGTATCACAAGTAGGAGTTAACAATTTAATATTTTTGTGTTTTGGTGGGTGGGACCTAGGGGGTTGATGAGGGAGAGTTCTCTTTCATGTCACTTTAGTTCCCCCTTACTATCCTAGAAACGGTTTCAAGCATTTTTCGATATCACCTTTCGTTCGTGAGATATAGTCTATTGTGAGTTTTGAAATTGACACACTGTATTGCTTTGCTGACGACAGCACACTTGTTTCGTCATTCCATTTGGATTCCAGGACATCGGCTGCGAAGCACATCTTCACCGGCAACAGGAGGTTGCATATCTTACTGAGGAGCTAGAAGTGATTTCGAATTGGAGTGAAAGTAACCAGGTTCCATTCAATGTCACAAAAACCCAGGTATCGGTTTTCTACAAAAAAATAAATGCAAAGGCTGTTTCTCAAAAGCTTGGAACACTGTCCCGAACCAGAAAACTGTATACACCTCAGCAACTTTTGATGCTTTATACAGCTCAGATCAGACCTTCATTGGAGTATTGTTCTCATGTATGGAGCTCCACCCCTAAGCATACCTGAAGCTGCTGGATTCCATCCGTAAAAAAGCAATCCTGGAGCCTGATTGGAGACACGAACATCACTTGCAACCTTGATAGTCTAGAACATCGAAGAAAGATTTGAGATTTGTCTCTCTTTTATAGATACTTTCA